AGGAGTTTTCCACGGAAATTTTTAATTTTAATAACCACAGCAGCACTGTTCATCGAAACCAGAAAACGATACACAGAAATATGTATCTTAGTGTAGTCTACTTGTGTGCCAAGTTATATTGAAATCAGACCAAAACTGTAGGAGGAGTAGCATTTTGAAAGAATTTCACAGAAATTTCTACTTTTAGTAACCACGGCAACATCGTTCATCGAAATCAAAAACCGATACACAGAATTATGTATCTTAGTGTAGTCTACTTGTGTGCCAAGTTATATTAAAATCAAACCAAAACTGTAGGAGGAGTAGCATTTTGAAAACTTGTTTACAGACGGACGGACGCCGTACGCATTACTATGGCATACATGTAAGCTCTTCTAGTCTCTGACCAGTAGAGCAAAAAATAGGATAGGGCCATTTAAAAATCTTCTCAAGAACCACTGTTAAAACTGTTAATAGTTTTGAGGCCTTGTCATTTCATTTGCCATTTCTGTCTCCATGGCTCGTGTGACAATCTAAAAACCTATCAATTCTGGCAGAAGAACCAACGATGCACCCTCTGATAAAGATATTATAAACAAACTCAAGTTTTAATCGAACTATGCACACTACCAAATGAAAAGCTTAAAATTCAGATGAATATTTAAAATCAAAGTACTGAAAGTACTGAAAGCCGGGCTTAAGAACAGCACACAGGTGAAAAGAACAGGTATCAGTTAAAGTATGAATAATATATGGAATTATTAGATAGAGCGCATGAAAAAGCATCATTTAATTTTATATAAGAACAATAGGTTTAACTTTGATGAAGTATAAGGGTGAATTTATCTTTTTATTTTTGAGCTTTATATACTTGTTCTTTATTGTTATTGAGCATTTTTTTCTTGCCTTATGTCATGGTGTCAGGCACTACTAAGGATCAATATTTCCTACGTCCGAAGCTAAGAGGTCACAGTTAGCCAGCAAAAGTTTTGTGCATGCTGATTATCATCGAATTTTGTTACCTGCGTTTCAACAACAGCAGTTAGCAGAAAAATGATCATATAACTGATACACTAGGATGTATTTAAAAACATGCATACAATTGCAATATGTCGTCCCCAACTTCGTTCGGGACGACATAATGACTAGAAAGTCTGCTATTGCAAACAATAGCGTATGTTGTCCCGAACTGAACAATTTTCATTTTGTCATCAGTAATACTATGCCCATTAGCTAAGCTTGGACAACTTTCAACTTGTATCAGTCTTTCGGTACTTTGATTTAAAAATCGGAGCTAAGCGCATGTGCATCCATATGCAAGATAACAATACCTTGTAGGAATCCATTATGTCTATCTATGTTATAAATCCCATCCTGTTTGGTTCAAAACTAGAGTTGTTATAGCCATTTAAAGTTTTAGCCAATCAGATTGCAGTGCACATGCATGCACGTTTTCATGATTATTGTTATATATCATATTGTAGGATATATACTAATGCATGACTTATTAAAAATTTCAATGTATTTCATCAAAAAAGAAAAAGAGATTAAAATTTTTATTTCAGCCAATCAGAGCAAAGTGCATGTGCATGCACATCATTTCGTGCTAATCTGACAATGTCATATTATCTACACTATTAATATATCCTTATGAAATGAGCATTTCATCAAAAAAAGGTTAAAGCAATATTAAGTATACAAGTCGTTTAATGTTGCACGCATCAGCACGTGGATGTGTGTGCACACAAAATGACCTCTGTTCCATACATCTACACAACATGCCTATTAACCTTAAAAAGGTTTTAGCTCAATTGGATGGACATTTTCCTACAACTCAAACTTGGACAACCATCAAAACCTATCTGTACTTTCAGTACTTTGATTTAAAAACCAAAGTTCAAGAATTTTCAATTTTCCGTTTCCATGGAAACTATTGACAGCTTCGAATTTTTAAATCCAATGAGCACAATTAAAGAGCTAATCATTACATCCATAAAATTTCATGACGAATGTGCAAGGGACCAGAGAGGAAACTCTAGACAAAATTTGTCGCTTTTTGCAGGTTTCCATGGCAACGCTAAACATTATGGAACCGAATGACCACACAACAGAACTACAACCAGTGATCGTCCTTTGAAGAAAGTTTCAGGAAGATTGTCCTAGCCATCTCTGAGAAATATCCTAGAGAAGAAAACATGCGTACAATCGCAATGTCGTCCTTGACATCATTCGGGACAACATAAGAAATAAAGTAAAAATAACGTTTCACAACTTCGTTTTGGGAACATAATAATACAATTCAATACATACGTTTGTGGAAAGTCTTTATTTTTAAGATCAGGAGAATTATGTCTACATTTTTCAAATGTGAAAACAGTTCCATTTATAGTTTGAACAAGTTTTCTTTATCCAAGGGCATGCTCACCATTATGTACGAACATGAACATATATTCATCCTGAAGTCCACTTTTGCTTATAAACAGAAGAAAATATAACAACCTAATGCATTGTAACATATAATGACTAGTCCAGTCAAGTAAAAAAAAAAACAAAAAAAAAAAAAACATTAAACATATGTAAAGAAAATATAATGTAAGTATCACCAGTAAAACGGATACATTATTCTGAAACTGATTCAGATACATGTATGTAAATACAGGGCCATATATATATCAGGCATTCAATAATATTTAAATTTACTCATTGTGTATTGCAAGTTCTTATATAAAAGAGAAAATATAAATCCCTTGTTTTTGTAATAAATACTTGGCAAAATAAAAGGAATGTTTTTGAAAAAGGGAGTGTAAATTTGTATACACATAATCTACTCTATTAAGCATACTGTGGAAAATTGTCAAAAAGAAATGAAAGACAAATAACAATCCAGATAAAATCATTTAAAAAAAAACTTACAGAACTTTCAAATTGACAAATTTTTGAATGGGTAGAGACAATATGGTTTTTAGCCATTTCCCAGCTTTAAATATCATTAGAGTCATAATCATGCAGAATTAGGTAAAAAAAAATGTATCTTATATACAGGCAGAACACTATATATATTTACACTACAGGCATTTACTAAATTAGAAAAAGTTAAAATTCATTGAAAGCACACAATTCAAAATATTGGGTTTAAAATGAAAGCAGTGGATATGGATTGAACAAGATATCCTTCATCTAAAACTATAAGTTAAGGGTGTCTATAAACCTTAAGGGTGCCCAAGTTGCACATATAGAATATTATCTTGTTTTAAAAATGTAGCACTAATTAAAGGACATGAAGGAAAGTGAAATTCAAATTGAGTATATGCATTCTGCATTTCTATATTGTAGAAATTTTGAAATATGGTATGATTTTTTTTCACAAGGGAACATTATGTAATATGCACAGTAAATAAAGTGGTCTTAAACATAAATGGAAAATGCTCAAGAACATGCTGCCTTGCATTTTGATTTAAAACAGGATTTGCAAAAATTAAACAACAGTATTAAATGTGAAATACGTGTACATATAATTTTGATAAGGATAACACAACAGAACCATCTATCTGAGGCATAGTATGAGAAAAAAAAACTGTGTTACTAACACAGACATTCTTAATAATACATGTTGATATACATGAATGCTTCAAATTGAGTTCACTCAGTGTCACAAATTATAAAGAGGAGAACTTCATCCTATTGTGTTAAACAGTGGAGAAGGTGATACAGGAATACTGGCAGAAGGTGAAAACAATGGGAGAACAAATATGAAGTTAAATTTTTAAAGTTAAGCAAAGAAAATTGTAATACATGATGAAATAAAACAGGCATATATGTACATTTTTATTACACTCTAGCTCCTGTGTCATTTTAATGTTATATACCAGTGTGATGAAATATGTTAATCTGTTTTAACAGTAGTAGAAGTGTATACAGTATAATGTTTAACTATTATGGCAAGGTTAAGGTTTGCATTTGGCATACTGATTTGGCACTCAGAATTAAAAGTGTAAACAGTATGATTGATAACAATATGGCGAGGCTAAGGTGTACATTTTGGCATCTTTGTTTAGCACTATTGTAAAAAAGATTTGGGTTGGGATTATGTCTGAAATTGTCATGTCTGCTTATAATGATTGTCTTAATATCATTATTTAGCTGTAATTTATAGAACATGATGGAAAATGATATTAGCAATTGAATTTATAGGAATTTATGTATTCTGCACATGTATAACGCAGAATGTTTCAAGGTATGACATTTTTTCAAAGGGAACAATTGCAGTAGTATACGACAATACAAGATGGATGCCGATATTATATTTTAATCAATAATAAAGGGTACATCGAACCCGATGCATAATAACGTAATAGTAATACACTACATCTCCCCCCTTTAGACAAAACTGACTTTACAGAGATAGTACAAATTTACATACAGCTTAACTTTAGCCATGTCTGTAAACGAAATAACTAATTGAACACAGGTAAGTCAATTAAAGTTTTGAACACAACTGTAGTTCGGTTCAAAAATACACAGAGTTTACAAGTCTAGTCTCTTGGGACACTTGACAGTTCGGCCCGAGCGCGTAACATATGAAGAAGGTTCAGTGTCAATTTCAGGTGAACGCGTTTCACAAGTTGGCGAAGGTTGTGCACTAGGAAGATTGTCCATGGTTTGTGGTTCGAATTCATCATCAGATAGTTCAACGTTGTTGGCCTTGACTGTGGATTTCCTCAAGTGTCTACGATTACGTCGTAGAATGTTCCCTCCGACTTGGACTAGATACGATCTGGGGCAGGGATGTCTGTCTACCACGGTTCCAGGTTTCCACTGTCGTTCGCCGTTGTTTGGCACGATCCTGACACTATCGTTCGGTTTTAGTGGTTCCAGCTCCTTTGCGTTGTGTCTCTGGTCAAAGTGTTTTTTCTGATTAGCTTTGTTCAGCTTCATACGGGCTTTGACTGTGTTGTCATGGTAAGCGGTAGGCTTCAGTATTTCTGTTGAAGCTGGCATTGTGTTACGTGGTCTCCTGTTCATCAGTAGCTGGGCTGGTGACAGGTTGATAAAGGGTGTCGTACGGTAGTTAGTAGCGCTAGATATTTGTCATCTGCTTTCCGCCAAAGACGTTTGACTGTCTGAACGGCTCGTTCGGCTTCCCCATTGGAGCTCTGGAAGTTTGGACTTGATGTCTTGTGTTCAATGTCGTATGTTCGACAGAATGATTTGAACTGTTGCGACGTGAACTGAGGTCCATTATATAGTTGTCTAGGTATTCCATGACAAGCGAACACTGACTTCATAGCTTCCAGCGTTGAGGTGGTTGACGGAGATTTCAGCTCTACTACATCGACATAATGAGAAAAATAGTCCACTAAGATGAGGTACTTTTTCGACTGAAAGTCAAACAGATCACATCCTACTACTTGGTATGGAAGTTCTGGTACGGGTGATGGCTTAAGAGGTTCTGGGAATTGTTTGTTCTGATAGGTTGCACACTTTGAACAGTTTCGCACGGTTTCCTCGATCTGGGAACTCATACCTGGCCAGTAAGCTACTTCACGAGCTCTCTGTTTACACTTCACTATCCCCAAGTGGGACTGATGAGTAAGTTCAAGCATGTGCGGTCTAAGACTCGGCGGAATAACAATCCTCATTCCTTTGAATATAATACCGTCCATGACGGATAACTGACAAATTCTCGCGAGTTCCAGAAACTGTGTGTGCTGACAGGTGCTTGGTCTCTGGTGTCTGGCCAACCATCAACAATTATCTGGTACAATGTTTCTAGTTCCGCTTTGGTGTACTTCACGATTTCTGTTTGCTTTTGCTTGCTCACATATAGGAGATCAAAGGCCTTGACATCACACATGTCAAGTTCGGATTTGGCTTCAGGTAGGTAAGCTCTAGAGAGTGGGTATGCTACAGTCATGTCTTTCCCTCTGCGATATCTCACATCAAGATCGTACCACTGGAGGCGCAAGCGCATTTTCTGTAGTCGCATAGGCGTAGAGAGTAATGGTTTCTTGAAGATCTGCTCCAGAGGTTTGTGGTCGTTGTAGACTGTAACCCGTTTACCAAATACGCATTTGGTAGCAGCATGCACGATGGAAAGCATTTCCTTCTCTATCTGGGCGTACCGCTTTTCTGTGTCAGTAAGCGCACGAGACGAATACGCAATTGGCCTGTCATTCTGTACGAGAACTGCTCCGGGGCCATCTTTCGAGGCGTCACATTGAATCTCAATGTTTTTGCTGACATCGTAGAATCCTAATGTAGGTGAGGAAATACAGAGTTTTTTCAGCTGCTCGAAACTTGATTGCTGTTCGTGTTCCCATCTGAATGCTGTATCTGATTTCAGAAGGCATCTGATCGCTGCGTCGACTTGACTCATGCTAGGGATGAATTTGCTGAGATACTGCACGATGCCTAGAAATCGTTTCACTCCCTCCTTGTCTGTCGGTGGTGGCATTTCCTTTATTGCTCTGACCTTTTCTGGGTCTGGACGAAGATTTTCCGCCGTTATAATGTGGCCAACATAAGGCACTTCCGTCTGCCTTACTTTGCATTTCTCAAAGTTTAGCTTCAGGTTGAACGCTGTTGCTCGTTCAATTACTTTGTGTAGAATGCTGTCATGATGTGTTGTGTCTCGTCCTGCAATAAGGATGTCGTCCATTATGGCGAATGCACCATCTATGCCTTCCAGCATTTCGTCCATGATTCTTTGGTAGATCTCCGGTGCCGACTTAATGCCGAAGGGTAGCCTCAGCCATCGGTAACGTCCCATAGGAGTGTTGAAGGTCGTGAGGAAATTTGATTCCTCATCCAATTTGATCTGTAGAAATCCGGACTTAGCATCGAGCACGGAAAAAACTTTCGTGTTTGGAATGGCTGAGACAACGTCGTCTATGGTTTTCATAGGATGATGTTCCCTGAGAATAGCTTCATTCAGGTCCTTCGGGTCTATGCATATGCGAACTTTGCTGTTTCTAAGGCTGACGACCATAGAACTGACCCAAGGTGTCTACTGACACGGGTTATGAAATCATTCTCCTCCATCTCCCTCAGTTTTTCGGTGATCAGTGGTCTGAAACGCAGGTTGTCTTCTCACTGGGTGAACTACTCCTTTCGCCTGAGGATCTATCTTGATCGTGTGCACTCCTGGTAGTGTGCCAGTTGTTTTCACCAGTTCAGGAAAGTCGTTGAACTGATCCGTCGTAGAGTCAGACATTTTAACAGGATTCATCCTCTGTATGAGATTGAGGCGTTCTGCTGTTATTCCTGTAATCACGTTTTCCTGGTGAATGTCAACTATTTCAAACTCAGCTTGAATGTTAGTGTCTTCATTCCTGAGTGGTAGTTGCACGTGAAACTCTGGACGGATTGTATGATTTGTGAATGAGCGCAAAAGTTTGTTTGATTGGCTTTTCACTCCTGATAATTTGCTCTGGTGATACTGGTGTGAAACAATGATATTGCACTTTGCTCCTGTGTCTATCCTGAATTTCAGAGGTTTCTCACATACGTGAAGAGTCACTAGCCACTTGTCTGCGTTTTCCTGACCTTCAGTATCATCTGTAGCGAGAATATCGAGTAGATCGTGCTCGTCCACATCACTGATATTCATCTGTGACTGTTGTCGCTTGCGGCATACTGATTTCCAGTGTCCGGTCAGTTTACAGTACCGGCATGTACTTTTCAGAGCTGGGCATTTGTTGTTCGGATGATTCGTACTAGGGTCCAAACCACATCTGTGACACATAGGTTTAGAGTTCTGTTGTTTTGGAACACTAGTTTTCCGTTTTGATGTCTGTCGCACTGTTTTCTTGTTATGCTGTGGTCTAGCGGTTTTGATACTGGATACTGCCTGAGTTTCTGCGTATTCAGCTCCTTGGAACATTTTAAGCTGTTTCTGAGAGAGCTCGTATTGTCTGCCTATTTGCAGGGTTTTGGCGAGTGTTAGATCATGTCCTTGATCGAGTAAGCGTTCTCGGACCTTCGTGTGTGCAACGCCTGCAATAATCGCGTCGACAAGAATATCGTCTGTATCTGCGTACTCGCAGTCCATTAGAATCAGTCTCAAATCTTTCACAAAATTGTCAAAGGACTCACCGTCTGTTTGTTTTCTCTGTTTCACACGAAATCTCGCGGCTCTCTTATTCTTCCGGGGTCTTACGTAATCCTCAAACTTTTTCAAGATTTTCTCTGGATCATCTTGTTCCCCTTCATCCCAGGTAAGTGTTTTGTAGACTTCCCGTCCGTGTTTCCCTAGCCACATTCCGAGCCAACCCGCCTTGTCCTTCTTATCAGCTTTACACAGGGGACCTTTGTAAACAAATTCCACATGCTGTCTGAAGCGTAGATATTCGTTATAAATATCGGGACTGTCCCAGTCCATGGACGGTTGCTCGAAATTAAGCACAGACATGGTTTTATTCTGACACCATGTGCTATACGACAATACAAGATGGATGCCGATATTATATTTTAATCAATAATAACGGGTACATCGAACCCGATGCATAATAACGTAATAGTAATACACTACATATGAAATAGTGTTAAAGAGATGGAGATGGCTAAGGAACTTGCTGCCTTATATCACTGATGTAGAACAGTATTTCCAAAAATTAAACATCAATATGAAATATAGAATAAGGAAAAAAACTATGAACAATCTATCATTGATGTAAAACAGTATTTGCAAAAGTTAAACATCAGTATGAAATGTTGAGTACATGTACACATGACTAGGATAAGGTAAGCAAAACTATGAACAATCTGTCTAAGGCATATGAGAAAAAGAAACTAGATTACATGCAGTAACATTCTTCATAATAATTGTTCATATACATGTAGTTCTTCACATTCCTCATTGTGTCTGAGTTCACTCTGTGTCACATTTTATGAAATAAGAACTGTGGGTCAACTTGTATTTCGATATGGTATATGAAAAAACATTATTTTGAATTACTGTGATCTTCAAGACAATAAAGATCAAAATACCTTTACTGTTTATGATTGAAATAATTACTGGTGGAATTTACATTATTTCCACACTTGTAAACTCGCTGCCTTTTGACGTGCATCTCAGAGAGATTGTTGGTTGGCACTTTTCTAGTATGTGACTCTCAACATCATTTTTCTTGACGTTTGGCAGAGCTAGTTCTACCAGTTAATATGGTATGGTAAGGATGCTGTCATCCTGCAGTAGGAACGTTACGCCCTCCATCCAAACATCCAGATATTGCTTGATATATCTTTACTTCGGCAGGACAATCTGTCTTCTAAAAAATAATAACATCTGTTTGTATTACATATTTTGTGTCAAAGTATCTATAGATATCAAGGTATTACGAGGACGTGACGTGTTAAGACTGAATGTAAACTTACAGTGATTTTGGTTTTTGTAGTTGTCGTGAGCGACACTTCATTTCTGAAAGTGTTGGTCACAACATCTGTGATCTGGACATAGTCTCCAGGACGGATGTCTTTTTCTGCAAAGTTGCGCCAAAGTGCAACTTTGCATTTGCTGGTGGAGTCTTCAACATAAATGTTCTTGACTTTTACCCTTTCCTCCTTTACAAACACCTCTCTTGTGGCTTCCTCCTACATTGATGGGAAAGTGAAGTTAATGATAAATTATTGAATTTTTATTTTTGATGAGGGTGATAAAAGATTTTATGAAATATGTATTTGTAATAGTATGGAAATATGTCATACTTGATTTCCATATAACATTTTTTTATTAGTTTAAACCATACATTTGAAGAAAGTGAAATGTTATGAACAAAATAAGGCCATCTTTAAATGATGGTTTAATTAATTTGCCTTGTTTGACAGACTATAAATCCCCAAGTTGGGAGAGAGCAAGGAAACATTATTTGGAGACACCTTCTCTTCTGAAATGAGAAGGGGTTGAATGAATAAGTCAATTAGACTTACCTGCATAATTCTCCCCTTAATGGAGACTCTGACTCTTGGAGGGGAGTTCAGAGCCTCGCTCACTGGCTTTGTGGGAGCAGGTGGAGGGTTTAGTAGGATTTGTGCTCCTGAGGCACATTCACATCATTGCAAGGAAATACCTTACTGGTTGTGGTAACTGCAATCGAATCCACCTTTTTGATGAAATTTCTTAGAATGACAGAACTTCCCTCCATGAATCTTGCAAATATTGTGTTGTCATATATTGTGCATAATATGGCTGTTCCTTCATCAGCCAGTGCACAGTTGAGCAGGACTCGGTCTTCATTCTTTTCATTCTTGTAAGTGAACTCTGTACCTCTGGCAATAACTTTAACTTTAATGCTCTTAGTGTAAGGCACCTGTCCCCTCTGACTCATTAAATCAGCTAATGTGACGGTTGTGGTCTGAAACCAAAAAATTGATAAGTAAAATTATGACTTAGTGAGGTTTAAAAAATGATGAAAATTAAATGGAAAGTAAATTCTTTTGGTATGCAAATATTGCTTACAATTGTTTTTCATTTCAAGGTATTTGTTAATAGGCAGGCATTGCAGGCAGAACAGAAATTTTCAGATTTTAATGAGATCATAAATCATATGTTAGGATCTATTGACTTCACTGACAAGAAGATTGGTTTGTGATCAGAGTAGTACGATTCTAATGTTCCATGTGAATGAAGGTGCTCTTTTGG